ATCCCAGGGGTTAACCCTGGGGTTATGCCCTGTGCCGAAGCCACGTGCCCCTTAAGGTCAACTTTAAAGTAACTTAGCTCCAGATCACATTGGGGTGTTGATTACAATCATGGTAATATAAATTAATTTGGGGGAAAATGACATTTTAAAATAATTTCGTTCCAAATCTCATTGAGATATTGATTACAATCGTAATATAAGTTAATTTGGGGAAAATGACATTTTTTAAACTTCAATCAAGGGAAATCTTTAGTTACATCTTTTGTATATCTGAGTGAGGTGGTTTAATTGTTTCCATATTGATAGCACACACTCCTTGTTGAAATTTCTGGGGTTTCGTTTTAATCCGTCCCTGTCATGGCATTAGCTCATGATAGAAATGATAGAGCATGGGGATGACTCATGACAAGAGCCTGACCCCCGGACGGCTGTTCACCGGAGCCTCCCTGAAGTTGGAATATGGCCTGAGACCTGGAAGCACCTTGCTCCAGCCACACAGACTGAGTTTTCTGGGTTTACCCCAGAGGGTCCCATGCCTTCCGCATTAGAGTCCTGCAGCCCAGCCCCCACGGTGCACTTAAAATGAGTACATTTTATTTTTTGTAAACCATATTTTAATAAAGTTGTTTCTTTAAAAAAAAGAATGAATTATTGATGCATGCATCAATGTAGAAGAATCTCAAAGAGAAAAGCCCCCAAAAGTTATTCTGAGCCAAGCAAGCAGACACAAAGAATGCAGATGTTTCTATTTAATGAAATTCAAGAACAGGTAAAGCTAATCTATGGTACTGGAAGCAGAACAGTTGTTGCCTAGGCGGTGGGTCATGAGGGAATTATGTGGGGTGATGGCAATGTTCTCTGTCTTGCGTGGGGGTGGTTATTACATGGACTTATGCATGTATTGAAAGTCCTCATACTCTTAAAATCTGAGTCTTTCACAATCTTTAAATTTTACTTTTATGTGATTTTATGAAAAAAAAGACACATAGGAACAATAACAATGAAGACATATTTTGCACACATGGAATTGTTGAGTGAGTCATTTCTGTACATTGATTCTTCTTGCAAATGGTTGTGTAACAGGTATTTCCAGGGCAAAGGGCACTGTGGATGACACAGCCACCTGACACTGAGAAGCCACAACCTGCTGGATAGACAAATGCCCTGTAGGGCATGTGGCTGTAACCCAACGTTTTAGAAATGTGTATAGTAAACAAAAAATTACACTGATAGTCATCAGCTCAACTGTTTATGGAGAGCAACCGGGAGTCAGACATCACTCCGGAGACAAGAGTTGCCTTTTCCCAAAACCTTGGGCTTGGAAGGGCTCTTCCTCTAAGCACATGGCATGGGGGCCATGAATCCTGGACAAAAACCTGTGCTCCAGCAACAAGAAAGAAGTGGGGTGGCTTTGGGGGCAACCAATACTTCCTGCTACACCTCACATTCTTCTCAGCTCCATAGCTATTCTTTCCAAGTCCCATGTCGCTGTCCAGATCCATGTGCCACGCACAACTCCCAGGTGACATTGCTTTTCCTTCAAATGTACAAACCTCTTCTGGAAGATTGGGAACTGCTGGCCTATAATTTTCTATGTGCAGGGTTCAGTCCTCTTGGAAGTGCCTCATTACTCGGGGCCAGGGCCCAGATGCTCCCAAAGCATCATGGGGACCATATGATTTTTGTAACTAGGATTACCATTCACCTATTATTCCATATCTGTGGGAAAGCTCAAGTTGGTTGAGTACAAATTCACGAGAGTCCAAGAGCTTTCCCTCTTATGTTACTATCATGCCTTTAAGTGTCCTACTTACTGCTCCCCATTGTGTTGGGGGAAGTGTGTGGTTTATGAGTTTCCTTGGCCATAGAAAGAGGATTGTCTCCCTGGCATTGGCTGGATGGGGTGCTGAGTGGAGTGGCAAACATAACTACCACTTGGATGATGGATGAGCTGAGCTCAGGGGGGAGGACAGGCTACTCCCTGGGGATTGCCAAGCCTGAGGTTGTTCCTGTAGAGGCTTGGAGATATCTTGAGCTCACATTCTCTTAACTGCTCAGCACCTTCCCTTCCCTTTTCCCACTACTGTCTTTCTCTATCTAGTCTAGGGGCCTAGAAAGTTCTTTTAGGTGTGTGTCTGACCTTTTTGGGTCTCATTCTTAGACTGCATGCTTTGTATTTTGTTGTTGGTTTTTTTTTTTTCCTAGTTCTCTGCTGGCTGACCTGTGTCCAGCTATTTGGGTCAGGGGCATGGCCAATGTGGGTGTAATGGGACCAAACTGGTGAAAGGGAAGTTGAACAAAGGAAGTCTGAGTGGGATAAGGGGGGTGCAGGAGAGAGAGAGAGAGAACATAAGATTAATATTTCTTTGCCATATTATCCAGCTCCAGTCCTAGATATAAGTAGAATGAGGAACTTAATTCAGTATATACTACAAAATTACTCCCACGAGGTAAAAGGGTTAATGCTACTTATGAAGAATGCTGAGAATTGATTGAATGAGGATGGTATCAATTACTTGCTACTTGTAATGGTTCTCCAAAATGTCAAGTAAACCCATTATCTTCCTCACTGACTGCCTCATCTATAGTTGGTTGATCTCATTAGCTCTTTGCCCTCATTAAAATGGGTGTATTCTCTAACCAATCACTGTTGTGTAATATTGTCTAAAGCAGTGTGAACAACACTTTCTGTGGTGATGGAAATATTCTAAATCTACATTGTCCACCATCGTAGCCACCAGCTACACGAGGCTAGTGAGCATTTGAAGTATGGTTAGCATAGTTGAGGAACTGAATTTTTCATTTTATTTAATTTTATCTATTTAAATTTAAATAGCCCTGTGACTAAATGGCTCCTCTACTAGACTATGCAAGTCCACAATTTACCTGCATGTTCTGGTAAAATGGGAAAGAACTTCGAATTGCCCCAGCTACTGAGGGAATTGGAATTCCACATAATACAGAATGGGTGCTCAGTAAACCCTCACTGAAATACCTAAATTGTTACCCTTGAATGGAGTGGAGGAGCTTGGATTTTATATAACAGCAGTTACAGGGGTTGGGACAGATGAAATTTCTCTTGCCAACTCTCTCCATCTCCTCGGGTGAAACTTGGGACGTCCCTTCTAGAACCAAGGATTTGTTCCTGGGGGGCAGTTCCATTTTGTGTAGTAAGGTGCTGGACGTAGTTACCAGGTAAGGGAAAGATATCTTTCAAGTGAATCAAGAGAATAATTTGTTGCTAAAAGGTAGGAGGACCTGGAGGTTCTTAGTGATGAACATCACTTCCCAATGTGTAGACAGAATTTATGTATAAGAACCAGGCTGGATCTCATAGTCTGGCTTAGACAATCCCCACGCCCCCCGCCCCCCCGCCCCCGAACTTCCCTGACGCCAGGAAACTGCATCTACCCCTCATTAGATGATGAACTCTCTTGGACAAATATTGCCCAATGTTGTATTTTGCTGTTAGTACCGAACACCTTCATCGAAGCCTTCCTTTCTCTCACCACTGCATCCCATCTATCCTGCTGAGCTTAACTCTCCGATGCTATCAAATCTATCTTTCTTTTCTCTCCTGGTTTCTGTTGCTTTCGTCAGAGCCACAGCAGCTTCTTCTGGGGCCATTGCTGTGCGCTCCTTCCTGCTGCTCTCGCACTCCTCTAATCAGGATTGTGGTGCACAGTTGGGCAGTTTGTATACTGCACAAACATCTTGCATTCCTGTGCCCTAATGTGGACATTTGTTTATCTGGAGAGAATACCTTCATGATGTGCACTTAGGTGCCATATAATCCTGGTAGTATAGAGCTACTATCTAAGACAGTAGCCACTATCTACATGTGGCTACTTACATTTTAATTAATGGAAATAAGTAAAATTTAAAGTTGAATTCCATAATCATACTAGCCACATTGCGAGGGCTCAGTAGCCACATGTGCTAGTGGCTACTGTATTGAGCAGTGCAGAAAAAGAAAATTTCCACTATTGCTGCCAGTTTTGTTGGACAGCACTGGATGAACTCCACTTCTAAACCTATCTCTATACAATTTGCTAGGGTGAATGAATTTAATACAAATCTAATATGTCCCTCTCTTGCTTAAACGCCTTCAATGATTTCCACTTCCATCAGTAGAGGTCAGTTAGCAGGTGGTAAATCAATTTTGTGGGTCACAACCGTGTAAGAACAAAACCAAGCTTATAAGGCCCTCTCTGATCTAAACCCTAGCTAACCCCTAACTCTCAACACTGTTTTTTGCTAGGTTCCACTAATTTAGAACTGCTGGTGGATTCACCTGAGACAGATCTTTCTTTCGTCCTCCTTTACTGCCTTCCTTCCCTCCCTCTTTTTCCCTTCCTTCCTCCTCCTTCCTTCCTTCCTTTCTTTTTCTTTCTTTCCTCCCTCCATCTCTCCTTTCTTCCTCTTTTCCTTTCCTCAACCCCCCTTCCTTTCTTTTCCTTCCTTCATTCCTTCCTCCTTCTCTCTCTTTCTTTCTCTCTCTCTCTGGTCAAGCTGAACCCTCTCTTAGGAGTTCTGGTTCTGCCTTCTCTTTGCCTGGACTTCTACTCATCCCATAAGCCTCAGCTTAAGAAACGGATACTCCAGGAATCCTGCTCTGAACGCTGCAGAACGGGATGGATGCCCTTCTCTGACCTTTCATCACGAGCCGCAGACTTGCGTTAACAGGGTTGTAATACCATAATGATTTATTTAAGCGTTCATTTCCGGCACTATACTAAGTTCTTTCAGCGCAAGAACTATGTTTCTCATCTTTGTATCTCAAAGGAGAAGCACGGCGCCTGAAACATACTAGGCACTCATTCAATAAATGTTTGTTCAAAGAATAAACGAGGAAAGGAAAGAAAAATCAGTCACGGGCGCGGACAATGTAAGTGCATCGCAGGCTTTGGCCATCAGAGGGCGCAGGCGCACCTCAGCTGGTGCGCAGGCGCGCAGGGAGGGCGGGCGCCGTGGCGGCGGCAGCGGCGGCGGCGGCGGCGGCGGCGGTCGTGGCTGCGGCCGGGGGAAGTGAATGGTTTTACCCAGAGGGCCCTGCGCCGCCTTTCTCCGCTGGCACCGGCGCTGCTCGCTGCTCCTCCTTCCCGGCCATGGCGTTCACGTTCGCGGCCTTCTGCTATATGCTGGCGCTGCTGCTCACCGCCGCGCTTATCTTCTTCGCCATCTGGCACGTGAGTAGCCGGGGCCGGGGGAAGAAGGGAGAGGAGGCGGCGCAGCCTCTTCTCGCCCCGGGTTGGCGGTCCGGGCGGCGACGGCCCGCAGAGGTGCGCGCGCCGGGCGACGGGGCCGAAGCGAGGCAGGCCGCGCGGTGAGGGCTCTATGAGCACTCCGTCTGCGAGCCGGGGGCTGCAGGTCCGGGGGGTGTGCGTCCAGGCTGCGGTGGCCCGATGGGTGCACCCGCTGTGTCCCCTCGCAGGCCGCGCGCGCCGCTACTCCTCCGTGGATGGGTGGGGCGGCCGCGGTCCTGCGGGGGCCCTTGCGGGACAGCGCTTCTCCCGCGCGGACCCTAGCCGGCCCCAGGCGCGGCATCCCCGGGGAGGATGTCAAGGGCGCACCGAGGCATGCTGCGTGCTTAGCGGGAACGAAGTTTGCCGGTTACTGTTATTTAATCACATTGTCTTTCTTTCCGGGTTTCTGCCGGAGTGTGGCCCAGATGAGATCGGATAGCCTACTTTAGATGAATTTCCAACTCTGTTTTCAGCACTTGTTGGGCGCTCTTCGAGTAGAACGCCCCCTTTTCCGGATTCTTTTCCCTTGTGAACTTTGATGCAGATTGGATTCATCACTTTGGTGACTGCGTCTCCGAACTTTTCCCCTAAATCATACTTTGACCGCCAGATTTTCTCGAGAGACACTCTTCCTAGCCGCCCGTCTTCAGGGTAGCTGGGTTCAGTAGAGGTAGTTTTAATTTGATTTCGAAAATGCTCACAAATCTTAAACTTCCCCAGGGCAGTTTTTTGTTTTCTCTTTTCTTTCTTTTTACTAACATCTTGCTGCAGGTTAGAAGCACATCCTTACTGGTTTCTATAAGGAACAAGTAAGTTCCTCGTGACAGTTCTACAACAGATTTTTAAGGATTCTTGTTTCTCTAGCACAAAATTAGAAGCAGCCTTCTGGAAGTCAGCATTCATTAAAAATGTATCTTATATTTGCTTCGCCCGCCTCATATTCTTTTAGTGGCTTCTGGAATATTAGTCTTTTGAATGATTTGGTTTTTTTAAAGATTTTATCTATTTGACAGAGATCACAAGTAGGCAGAGAGGCAGGCAGAGAGAGGGGGGGAAGCCGACTCCCCACTGAGCAGAGAGCCCGATACGGGGCTCGATCCGGGGACCCCGAGATCATGACCTGAGCTCAAGGCAGAGGCTTAACCCACGGAGCCACCAGGGGCCCCAGTCTTTTGATTGTACATGTTCATTCATGTACATTTTAAGTCAGGTTTCATCATGCCAAAAACAAAGATTTCTTAGGGAATATAGCCTGCCGGAATGATTTAAATGGCAGCAGTGTCTTGTGTTAAAAAAAAAAAAAATTCAAATGTAGAATGATAACCATGAATTATTCTCTTTTGATAAGAGTGTGATTGTGTTTGCAATTATTTTAGAACCTAATTGCAGTATAGTGGGGAATGCTTAGGTAAGCTGTTCAGTAACTGTTCCCTCAAAACGCTTGTGAGTAGGAACCAATAAATTAAGAGCAGTTTAGGCTCTTTGGTGGAAGAACAATAAATAAAGATAATTTGGAATGCAAACTAGCTCCACTTTAGTAAGCCTGTGGTGGAATTGAAATGTGTGGCTCCCTTCCATTTGTAGATGTGAATTTAAGTCATTTCCTGCTTGATGGGTACTCTTTGTCTTTTTGAGACATGAGGATTCTAAGCCAGAAAGCTGTGGATGGCTTTGTTTACATTTTGAACCTGTTTGTTTGGCTTAAGGAAAATCTGAACTGCAAAAAAAAAAAAAGGGTAATTTGGGGCACCTGGGTGGCTCAGTCAGTTAAGCATCTGCCCTTGGTTCAGGTCATAATCTTAGGGTCTTGGGATTGAGCCCTGTGTGGAGGTCCCTGCTCAGCAGGGAGTCTGCTTCTCCCTCTGCCCCTCACCCCTCTTATTCTCTCTCCGTCCCCTTCCCTCCCTCTCAAATAAATAAAATCTTAAAAAAATAATAAAAAATAAATTTTAAAAATGGGTAACTTAGTTTGTGTTGAAATGAGAATGTTTCTGATAATTTTAAGTCCTATTATAGAATTTTAAAAAATTCATTTATACTCCACAGATTAATTGAGAGCTTTTATCCTTAGGGATTTCTTCATAGTTCAGATGATTATGCATCCTTTAGGAACAGATTGAAAACTCTAAAGTATATAATTTTGATTTTTCTATTAACTACATAACCTTCAGTTTATTTTCTTAGGTCATTTAAGTATCAGAAAACTCATTTTGGAAATTTCAAATAGAAATTCAAAGAATCCTGTTTACATTAATCATTGTATGGAGGATTTTTTTTTGTGCTAACGGTTACATCTGTCAGTTTACTCCTAGTTCATGTGATTGATACTCTGTGGAGAGTAGACATAAGAGCATAGGTATGTTTGAACAGAAGTCATTCCCTAAAGACATGCATCAAATTTGAAGGTATTCTGAATTGCATAGTTTGTTATCTTTAGGTATATATCTGTTCTGCCTTAACACTTCTGTGGGACTTTTGTGAATATCTTTGTCCAGATGCACAGTCACTAAAGATAACGAAAACCAGTAGGTTAATCTTTACAGAAGAGTTGAAAAGTCCAGCTTATCGTGCTCAAACAGAAGCTCATACAGTAACATACCCGTTAAAAGATCCCTTGAGGTCACCTGAAGAAAATGTCCAGTCAAAAGAGTTAGTTTTAAAACATAAGATTTATATTCTGCTATTAAATTGGATCTTACTATAGGCAAGTAATTTTATTTGCGAGAGAGTCCTTACTTTGAACTTTATTACTAAGACGCATTGGGGATATATCACACAGCAAATGTCAGGTATTTGGTTAATAATATCCATAAGTAATCAGAAATTAGTATCTTCTAGTTGTACATTTATTTATTTCTTCTTTTTAAAAGATTTTATTTATTTATCTGATAGATAGAGATCACAAGTAGGCAGAGAGGCAGGCAGAGAGAGAGAAAGGAGGAAGCAGGCTCTCCACAGAGCAGAGAGCCCGATGTGGGGCTCGATGTGGGGCTCGACCCCAGGATCCTGGGATCATGACCCGAGCCGAAGGCAGAGGCTTTAACCCACTGAGCCACCCAGGTGCCCCTACATTTATATTTTTAACATTTATAACATTTATACATGTTAGGTTTCATTAACAAAGACAAATGCCTTTTGGTAAGTTCTGTATTCTTTTTAAGCCAGCCACCCCCCTCCACCCCCCGACTGGCCTCTGTCCCTTTCCTTCAATAGATATTGATTGAACATTTAAGTATGTGCCCCGGCTAGGGACATAGCAGCCAGTACAACAAAATTGTCATGGAGTTTACATCTTGATGTCTAATTATGTTTTTCTATTCCTATTTTAGATAGAATTTTTATTTGGTCAGGTTGGTTCATTTTGTAAAATTCTAGAAATTAAAAAACAACAACCATCTTTTTATGAAGTGAAGAACTTTAACAGGTAAATAAGCCAGCACAGTAAAAGCTAGGAATAGGGAACTCCATTGATTACTGGTAATATTGAGTAACACAGCCTCACACACGAAGATACTATTCCTAATTCACAAGTGGAAAGGCAGACTGAGTTCTCTATCTCCTGCATGACCAGTGGCAGCAACTAAAATCATTCTCCTATAAACTTGGTGCCTATGGCTTCTTATTTTGACATCTGACCAAGTACCACAAAGTGGTGTGTTGCCCTTATTTTGATTTTTAATACATTTTGACTTTGAAGTTGTGCATTAAGTGACCCTGTTTTACAGCCACATTTCTCCAGAGTGTAGACAAAAACAATCTTTTCATATTTTTCATAAGTGGATGAAATCTCTCTCCTGTTACCACATTTATAACTGTTTGACTCCTCTTACTGTGAGAAGTTGGTCTTACCTGGGTTACCCTTCTTCAGTTTTTAGTTTGGTGACCTCGGGAAATCACCCTCAAGTGTAGGAGATGTGCATAGGACCCAGAAGGAGGTTAGATGGATGACTTTTATCATGGCCTTGAACGGGGCAGCTCTTGCTTCTATGATGCCATTAGGTGCATTAGAACAAGATGCCTCTTGGGGCAGAAGAATTAGGAAAATCCTCCTGCCCGCGCAGACAAGCTTCTCCGTGCAGAGCCTGATGTACAGCCGATGCCAGGGTGCACGGGCTGGCTTTGAGCTTCCATCCTGGCCTTCTGTCCCATGCAGAAATTGCGCGACTCTGTGTGGCAGTCCAGGCCTGGTATTCCTCTATTCTGAGGCCATTTCTTGTTATTCCCTATTGAAGCAGGACTTTGAAATGTATGTATTTGGGCACAGTGGGAACAAACTGAAGCATGTGAGTCCATCTCTAGTGTCCCACTGAGCCCTGATGTGGGTGGGGCACGCACAAATGATCGAAAATACTTCACCGGGGGCCCCTGGGTGGCTCAGTGGGTTAAAGCCGCTGCCTTCGGCTCAGGTTGTGATCCCGGGGTCCTGGGATGGAGTCCCGCATTGGGCTCTCTGCTCAGTGGGGAGCCTGCTCCTCCTCTCTCTCTGCCTGCCTCTCTCTGCCTACTTGTGATCTCTGTCAAATAAATAAATAAAATCTTAAAAAAAAAAAAAAAACTTCACCCCAAGGGACACACAAACCTGTACACAGATACTCCACTGGAAGAAATGCCATATTGGTAGTATCATAAAGCCCTGTGCTCTGGGGCTCTTAGACATGTATGCAATTATTTCTGCCCCAGGGGAGTCAGGGAAACCTGCAGAGTGGAGCTGATGTAGGAAGAGGGTTTTTAGATGACGAATTTTTTTTTTTTTAAAGATTTTATTTATTTATTTGACAGAGATCACAAGTAGGCAGAGAGGCAGGCAGAGAGAGAGAGAGGAGGAAGCAAGCTCCCCGCGGAGCAGAGAGCCCAGGACCCAGAGATTATGACCTGAGCCGAAGGCAGAGGCTTTAACCCACTGAGCCAACCAGGTTCCCCTAGGATGACGAGTTTTGATAGAAAAGATCATTTTAAGAAGAGAAAATAATTTGAATAGAGGCATTGAAAAATTGAAAATTGAAGATATTTATCACAGTGATACCAGATCATAAATGGTATTATTTATTAGGACATAGTGAATTTACTGTAAATTGGTACATGTAGTATTGGTATACTTTTGCTTTTGTTTTATTAACTTTATTCAATTATCATTTGATGATGAGGCAGTTTTGTTGCTGCTTTTTATTAAAGGTCCTAACTAACTTTAATTTTATTTTAGATTATAGCTTTTGATGAACTGAAGACTGATTACAAGAATCCTATAGACCAGTGTAATACCCTGAATCCTGTAAGTTATAATATAGGATTTTTCTTTAGATTTTTAAACTGTTTTTGCTCTTAATATAATTTGAAAATGGCCAATATACTCAGTGGCATGACATATTTGTTCTTTTTGAAGTAGGCAGGATTTACAAAAACACTCTTTCTCCTGCTTGACTGTTCTATTATTAATCTGCCAGTGATCTTGTCAGCTGTCATACTAACATTCTTCCAATCTGCTTTTTACATTGTCGGCCAAAGACAGTTGAAAAGGTCAAAAAGATTAAAAGAGTCAAAATTGCATTAAAGGTGTGTACTGCTTTTTAGTTTAATGTTTTAATGCTACATTCATTTCATGGGGAGGGTTAGGGCATTTGTATTTGTAAAATGTTCTGTTTGGTGTGCTTGTTCATATGCCTGTTGAGGATTATGATTTCATGAAATTCCGCATTTTATGCAAATGTTTGCTTGCTGGCCCAGTCAAGTAGGGAAAGCTGTTAAATGCTTATGCATTTTTAAAAATGTTATAACCATAGGCACTTTTATATTAAATTATTTTGTGCAGTGTTTGAAAGTTGGTTAACAGGAAATGACTTTAGTAGATGGTAAGATGGTTTTTCTGTTGTGACTTATTGGGAGATAGTCCCAAAGTGGAGTCTTCAGTATCATGTCTGCTTTTATCTTTCGTTATGTCTATTCTGGAATTAATTATTCACTCTTTCAGTGATGTTTATTCAGAACCTTTTAGGTGGATAGCTCTTTCCTTAGGCTCTGGAATCAGTCGTGCTGACCTTTGGACTCACGCTGCCAGAATTTTGTGGATAACAGTTGGTCTACAAATGTCTACATAGTTATTTCTAATATAGATCCATTCTAAATTTCTAAGCCAGATTTGTCTTACACTAAGTTCTGAGCTCTGATGGATTTCGTTATAACATGGCTCCATTGTGCTTAGGGATTTATATATATTTTTGGCTTCATTCAGTTTATTCATTTAGGAAGATTCTCCTTTAACCTGTAGGTTTGATTTTGCCTAATTGGTCAGAAGCTGAAAGGTTGTTTGTAAGAAGACCGTGGGTATGTCTCCAAGAAATAGAATATAATAATTTATCTTAAAAATTACTTAAGATGAGAACTTGTGTAGGCTTTAGTTGTCTAAAACTATAAGACACTAGCACACCAAAGGGATCTTATTTAGAAAGGGGTCTTTAAAGTGAGTGTGCTACTTTATCATTGTTTCCTCTATAAATAGGAGTGATGCGATGGATTTTTAGTTTGTCTCTAGAGAACTGCTACAGTAAGACTTGATGTCTTGATGACAATTAAAAGTATTAACTTACTAGCTGTTTCTCTGTTCTTACGAAATAAAATAGGTGAAGAATCTGCTTTCTCATTGGAAAGTAATAAGGTTGATTGTAAAGTTTCTTAACCTACTGTTGAAACTGATTGTTACCAAGAGAATAAGGAACCAAAATTTCTTTTTTTGACATTTGTTCATTAATAGTATTCTGTCTTCTTTGGCTTCTCATTACTTAAAATAACCAAACGATGATGAGGATGATAAGAGCTGAAATCAGATGAGGGCTTTCCTGGGCAACAGGCGCTGTGCTTTCCTTGAGCTTTTTCATTCAGTGCTCATGACCAGCCTAAAGGGTAGGTGTATTGCCATTCTCTTTAATAGGAGGATAGGCTGCGGCTTAGCAGGGTTGAAGCACTATACCAGTAGGGTCACACAGCTAAGGTAGAACCAGCATTTGAACCCAGACAACTGGATTTTTACACTCATGCTTTGGTATTTCCCTAATTTATGGTAAGTTTAAGAGGGACCAATTTAATTTTTACATGTGTGTGATTTCTGACTCTCCTTCATGGAAGGAAATTCTCACTTAAAAAAATACATGTGCTTAGGACCTCCTAATGCTACATAGATTAGAAGGAGGTTTTTGCAACAGCACAAGTTAGTGTTCGGATAGGGTGCCGATAATTGGCTTACTAGCAGTGCATCTGACAGTTTTCCCTATTTAAAATTTGTTTTGACAATTCTGCCAAAGTATGGGGGAAGACAAATATTATTTTTAAAAATGTGAGCCTTAACTAGAGAATATTATGATTTGCATTTAAGTACTATCATTTCAGCCATATTTGCATGAGGAATTTTTTTGGGTACTAGCTTTTGGGTAAACATTGGTTCCTAAATGGAACGATTTTTGTGCCACTTACGGGGAAATTTCACCACTAAAGAATGATTGGAGTGGACTGGTTTTTATAAGAGATGCATTATAAAAGTTTCTGGATGTTTTTGAGGAGAAAGGAGTGTGGCATGTGTTTCATATTAGAACTGGAAGAGTTGCAGATTATCCGTATTCTCACTCTTATTAAAGTATATTGTTTAAGAACCATAGGTATTGTGCATTCAAAATAATTTTCTCCCCATATCTCAGTCTGGAAGTGTAGGGTGAAAACTTGAATGATGATTTGTATTGTTAGCTATCACTTGGCTTTGGAGAGCTGAGATAGACTTATATTGTAAAGAAAACTCCTGTAATTTAAACTAGCATTATAAACAGCTCTAGTGGAACTCCTACTACAATATTTATTTTTCTTGGTTTGTCCTGGTTGTAGTTCTTGTGTTTCAAAGATTTCCTGTGGACATTTTCTTGTTTTCTTGCAGATGTTTTGATTTTGATTTAATTACATGGAGGCGTAATGGTTCGTATTATTTACAAGTTTATATACATATGCGGAGTTTATCTTTTGTTATTATATTGCTTAAGTTTGTAGAAGATACCTGGTTAGTAATATAGATTAGTTGGTTTTACTGGAATTTCATTTAAAATATTATTCATTAAAAAACTTTGCTTTACAGCTTTGAAATGGAAAAAGTGACTTGGGAGTATTATAAAGTGGGCTTGAATATGTAGTACAATTGTAATTATTTATACAGCAACGGTTTCCTCTCAGAAATGATCTGATGATGTTGAGGATTCATATAATTTTACTTTGGTATGACACAGTCATTTGAGAAGCTGGCTCTGTGTCTGTGACTTGCAGGAAGTTATTTAGCTTAAACTTGCAATGAAAAGTTTGGGACTTTCATTTAACAGAGTCATTAGGCTGAATGAAGTCTTTAGGATGAAAAAGATTTGTTAAAAATAAAGCATGAATTTTTGGTCATATTATAAAAAGCATTTTGCTTGAATTAATTTTTCTCATTTAGTACCACCTACAATAAAAAAAAAATCATTTTGTTTTTGAGTTCTGAGTGTCTCCTGGTCTGCTGTGTCTGTAGAAGTTCACTGGAAAGCAGGTTTAAAGAAGCAGGAAGCCATGTTAGAATTGGAGCTCAGGAACCGGGAAAATTTCAATTTTATGGTTCAGAACTGTCTTTTCCCTCCTACATTGCAGAATGCACATTGTTTGCATCTGTGTATATTAGTATTCTTTCCCCCCCGACTGTGCTGAGATTATTGGCTTTTGGCTTTCCATTGAAAAATTACTTTTGTGATAATGTGATGTGGTTTGCTAAATATTATTTATGTAGCATTCCTGGTTTCTGTTAAAAGCTTTAAAACACTAATGTGTAAAATATTCTAAAAGGGAGTTTTGTTTTGTGGATTTTTTTTATCATGTTGCATGTGACCAGATACCTCCTTTTTGTATTTTTATCATTACTGAATGGTGGAAAGAAAAAGTATTCCAGGTGATCAGCAAATAACTGAACTGTCTGGGTAGTAACTTTGTGTAATTTAACCTGTTACTGTAAGAATATGAGTTTTAAATTTTAGGTTTTATTTATTCTTTTAGGGCAAGCCATATCATCTGGACAGTTTGCTTGTAATTCTGCTTTTGGTAAAAAGTTAAATATGGAAACAGACCTCAGTACCATCTTTCTGGCCTGATTCTTAGAAAGCAGTGAATTTTTTTTCATTATGGAAACTTGGTTGCCACCTGCTTTCAAATTAGCATTTGACATACTGCCAAGGCATTTTGATAACTGGCTTGTATTTTTCTTCCAGCTTGTACTCCCAGAGTACCTCATCCACGCTTTCTTCTGTGTCATGTTTCTTTGTGCAGCAGAGTGGCTTACGCTGGGTCTCAATATGCCCCTCTTGGCATATCATATTTGGAGGTAATATTTAGATATATTTCTAATACTTTACCTAATTATATTTTAATTACACTATGGTTGATACAGTTATCTTGCATGCTAGTCACCTAAATGAAAACTGAAAATTGGTTGGCATTTATTTTAAAAATCTAGCAGATGAACAAATCACTGTTTCAATACCTTTTATGGTGCTTACTTTGTTACCCTTTAAAGGAGTTTTTCAAAAAGTGAGTTTTAATTTACATACAATAGTGTACATAAGTCTGAAGCCCTGTCCCTGTCAGTTACCCCTGTACCTCCCCGGGACAGCAGTGACCTCTGTCAACTTGTATAAGTTTTGCCCATCTTTGAACTTCACATAATTCAAAATGTACAGGGTGTCTAACTTCTTTCTCCATGTTTATGATTTTAAATTTGGTTGTTTATAAAATATATTTACATTTCATAACTACTAAAAGTTATGTCTGATCTATATAATAGAGTTAGAGGGTTGTTTTTTTTTTTAAAGATTTTATTTATTTATTTATTTGACAGACAGAGATTACAAGTAGGCAGAGAGGCAGGCAGAGAGAGAGGAGGAAGCAGGATCTCCGCGGAGCAGAGAGCCTGATGCGGGGCTCGATCCCAGGACTCTGGGATCATGACCTGAGCCGAAGGCAGAGGCTTTAACCCAGTGAGCCACCCAGGCATCCCTAGAGGAGTTTTTTTTTTTTTTTTTTTTTAATAGGAATATTAAAAATCTCATTGCTCTTGGGAAATATACTTAAGAAGTATTTAGGTGTAAAGTGGTATCACATCTGTAACTGATGGTATCACATCTGTTTTGTAAAAAAATGTGTGCATATTTGGAGGTAAGACTAAAAAGAGAACGGTAAAGCTGTGTGATTAATGTGAGCATTTGGAACATTTTGGTGAAGTGTTCTTGCACCTTTTCTGTAAGCCTGAAATTATGTTAAAAAGTTATTAAAAGGAAGAAAAATCTCACTTCATTTTTACAGTTATTTTTCTTTTTCTTGTGTTTATGAAATTGTCAGGGAGACCAGATAGGACTTGTTTAACTGTCCTGATCTCTTATAGGGGCTCTTGTTTTAAAATTAAGATGATAAGAGGAAAGAACTCCACCCTAGAACTAAAGTTACTCTTCCCTGTGTGGACCACCTCTCATTGCAACAAATGTTACTGGAGAAGAAAACCCCTCCTTCCCATCTTAAAGGTTGTCTTCCTGTTTGGACCGGCTAATTGACTGTGTTTATTACAGGTATATGAGTAGACCAGTGATGAGTGGACCAGGACTCTATGACCCTACAACCATCATGAATGCAGACATTTTAGCTTATTGTCAGAAAGAAGGCTGGTGCAAATTAGCTTTTTATCTTCTAGCATTTTTTTACTACCTATACGGGTAAGTTTAAAAATAAAATGAATATATGATTTCCTTTTGCTTCCAAAAAAGTCTGTAGGTATTATGGTCTTAACACCTTAAAATCCACTAAAAGAAGAACTCAGTGTCTTGCATGGTGGAGACTGGTAATGGCGCAGTGCACGCCCCAAACGCACGCACACTGACTATGATTATAAACTGGTACTTGTCAAGGCGGCCAGCTGGTGTGCAATCAGAGGCAAAAATTTTGTGCAGGGGAGCTGCTTCCTAAATTTTCGGACATAGTCGGTCAGTGAAGGATAATCCTCATTCTCCTGGCAAAGTGATGGCCTTGAGAGGATTGCAAAAAAGTGTGTTTGCAAAAAAATGTTTGCTTGGCTTCACTGTCTATTTTGAGATGATGTTTGATTTTTTTGTCATTCTTTACAAACTGTATGCTCTACCCTTTATTTTCTGGCTTGCTTGACCTGAATGGGCTGAATGAAAGACGGATCTGTCCTATATGATGTTGCAGTTATTGATTCTTCTCCCTTTATTCCATGATGGACTCATATCATTCCTCTAGTTCAGGGTTTCTCAACCTCAGCACTATTGACATTTTGGGCTGGATAAATCTTTGTTGTGGGGGCTCTCCTGGGCACTGCGGGGTGTTGAGCAGTGTCCCTGGCCTCTACCCACTAGACGCCAGCAGTACCTCCTTTGGTCACCAAGACGAAAACTGTATCTAGATGGTGCCAGATGGGGCAAAAACCAGCCCTGGTTGAGAACCACCACCCTAGATGTCCTGTAGATTCTCATTAAAACGAGAAAAGGACACAAGTATGGAATTAGATTTCTTTAAGCCACATAAATCTACTTTATTTATTTACTTTATTTATTTACTCTATTTTTTTTACTTTATTTATTTACTCTATTTTTTTATTAATAAAATCTAATCTATTTTATTAACATATATTCAACCAGAGGACATTCCACCTGATTCTTTTCTTTCTTTTTTTTTTTTAAAGTTTTTATTTATTTATTTGACAGAGAGATAGAGAGAGTGCACAAGTAGGCAGAGCGGCAGGCAGAGGGAGAGGGAGCCCGATGAAGGGCTTGATCCCTCATGACCCGAGCCAAAGGCAGACGCTTAACCGACTGAGCCACCCAGCGCCCCTCTTTATTTCGAAAAAGCACTTTCTGTGTGTCGGGCACTGTTCAGGTAGCCACACATATACACAGCTGCTGTCTCCAGGTACCGAACAGACTGAGCCACCCAGGCGCCCCTTGATTTTCAAACTATGAAGAAAATTAGCTGTGTAAGATGGAATTGTAATCATTCAGCATCTTCCTATTCCCCTCTCCTTTTTGTTACTTGAAAACTTGCTAAGTATTAGATGGTAGGTTTATATTCTTATTTCTTTTTATTTCATATAAGTTTCCATTATGGAAAACAATGAAGTATGAGACTGAAATTTATGTAAAAGGTATGTTTATGCTTTTAGAGGTTATAATTGTGAAAATGAGTAGCCTTTAGTGCATTTGCAGATGCTCATTTACGAAACAAAAATAGTAAGTTCTGAAAAGTGAAATGCCAGGTGTCATTTTCATTTCCTGTTAATTTTCATTTTTTCAGTTTCTTTAACAAATGCCTAGAACAGTGCTGGCATATAGCAGACACTTCAGATGTATTTGTTGAGGGGTGCCTGGGTGGCTTAGCTGGTTAAGTGTTTGACTAGATCTCAGCTTAGGTCTTGATCTCAGGGTCATGAGTTCAAGCCCCATGTTGGGCTTCATGCTCGCTGTGGAGCCTACTTAATTAAAAAAAGACACACTTGTTGAAAGGAAGAAATGAATCATTGAATAAATGATAATATCGGAGATGTACAGTTGAGGGAAAATGTTCACCAGGAGATGGTGGCACTAGGTCATTTCATTTCTGCTTTAAATTGTTAATTGATTTTACACAACCCTTTGCTTTGTATTTCCACATAGAGATCCGTGCTTTTGAACCATGCCTTTCCCACATCATTCTGGTAAAATTGCCCTGAATTAAATGGTTATTTTTATTTTGCTCATTTGTGCACTTTATCAGCCCCGTTGCTATTGTCTAGAGCCTTTCTCTAATGGGGAGGTTTCTTAATTGACCATTCCCATCTGTAAAATGGGGATAATAATGGCACCCACCTCCTGGGACTGCTTGGAGGACTCAGCGAGGTCATGTACATAAAAGATCTGGTGGAGGGCCCTGCATGACGTGAGCCCTCCGGAGATGCTCGCTGCTATTGTTAGACAGCTCCGGAGCAGTGTACTGTTTGGATTGCTTCTCTAAGCTCTGGTCCCCTATTAAGCTTTCAGCTGTGCTGTTCTACTTGCTAAAATTGGAAAAGAAATAGGGGACAACCACAGCACATGCACTGAGCCAAGTTCTACCTTAAGTAGAAGTCCATAAATGCACATTGAGATCATACTGCGAACTGGTTGGTCGTTGGTCTTTTCACTTTCTTTGGCGGCGTGATACTATACATGTTTGCTGTGTAAAGCAGACTCAGCTTTTTGGTGCTTTTAGTTTTGCTAGTTAGAACGTTTGAATTAATAGGCTTTTTCTTCTTTTCAGCATGATCTATGTTTTGGTGAGCTCTTAGAACAACACACAGAAGAATTGGTCCAGTAAGTGCATGCAAAAAGCCACCAAATGAAGGGATTCTATCCAGCAAGATCCTGTTTCCAAGAGTAGCCTATGGAATCTGATCAGTTACTTTAAAAAAATGACTCCTTATTTTTTAAATGTTTCCACATTTTTTGCTTGTGGAAAGACTGTTTTCATATGTTATACATGGATAAAGAATTTAAATGGAATTACGTATAAATTAATATAAAATGATTACCTCTGGTATTGACAGGTATGAATTTGCACTCCCTAAGGAACAGCCATAATCCCTTGTATGATTGCATTAATTATTGACTATCCTTAGTCCATTGGAAGCTTTTGTTATATATAGGAACTTGTAGGGCTCATTTTGGTTTATTGAAATGCCGTCTAATTATAAATTAGCTGTAGATATCAGGTGCTTCTGATGAACTGAAAATATATATCCGACTTGTGGGAAACTTCATGGGTTTCCTCATTTATCATGTATGTGATTATATATGGACACATTACAAAATAAGAAGAGTGGGATTTTTTTCCCTTCAACTTGAATATTATCCCTGTATATTGCATGAATGAGAGATTTCCCATATTTCCATCAGAGTAATATACTTGCTTTAATTCTTAAGCATAAGTGACCATGATATAAAAACATATGCTGAATTACTTGTGAAGAATGCATTTAAAGCTATTTTAAATGTGTTTTAATTTGTAAGATATCACTTAATAAGAAATTGGTTATTATACCTACTGTTCTAATCTGGTGGTAAAGGTATTCTTAAGAATTTGCAAGTACTTTAGATTTTCAAAACTGAATGAGAGAGAACATTGTATAACCGTCCTGCTGTTCCTTTAGTGCAATACAATAAAACTCTGAAATTAACTTATTTTCAGTGCCTTGTTTTAAGATTACAAATAGCTATTTCTTACACTTGCTTAATCCATAATAAAGACATATTACTGTCAGTTTTTTAAAAAAAATAGTAGAGTACGATATCGTGTATGTGCGTGTGTTGTTGTTGTTGTTGTTTTTTTAATATCATGCCTGCATCTAAAAAGGAGTATTTTTAAATGGCTGAAAGCACATTACCCTCTGTCACCATTTGACAAGACTTAGAACACTGATGGCACAGCATCATCATTTTTCTTAACCAATTTAAAAAATTATTGTGAGACTTAAAATGTTAAAAATATTCCCCCCTTTCTGAAACAGCAGGTTTCAAGGAAAAATAACTTGTTAAATTTGACTTTTTATTGCTGCTTGTAAGGCAGGTAAATTATGGCTTGCATGTTTGGGGAAGAATTCTTGGGCTTTATTTGGAATGAGGTAGTTAAGGCAATTGAAAATAGTGTAAGTGCTTCAGAAGTTCTTAAAAGATCAGAGAAAGAAAACCACATAATGCTCATGGGAGTTTGATGGATGAGTCTGTGCAATTCTTATTCTGAGAGCTCTTTGAATTCGATGCTGTTGAATTCTCAGCAGAGAAAATGCCTCCCCACCTTTGGGAGAGTAGATGTTAACATTTGGGATCGCGTGACAGGGTGAGCGTGCCGAAGAAGAGGATGTAGACTCAGAAGAGTGAGGAGAGCCAGACCGTTTCATAACGAGAGAAGCTTTAAAGACCTTACATTTTATGGTCTGGAGGACACCTGGAGGGATCTGGCTGTTGGGTCCATTCATGTAGAAAATTATTCATTGATCAGTTGCTAGCCACTGAAGATTCGTGCTCAGAGTGTGAGCATTCAGTTTCTAATCCAGCTAATTATGTCAGCACCCACTCCTCATTTTTCTTTCTGGTTCACAAATACTTCTGATCATGAGAGACCTTGCCAAGTCGAGATAGGTTTCTTGGGGCCATCCATTACTTTAGCATTCCTGTCAAAGTGTTTTCACAAGCCCTTGCTGTCTCTTAGCAAGCACTACTTTCTTTTATAAGTTTTAACACATCTCCTTGTAATAATGTATTCCAGAATATTCTCCAAAATTCTGCAAGGTTTACTGGCTGCAATTTGTGGAAGCCACCTTCTCATGCTTCCAAAATTAGATACATAGTCCTTACCTGATTCCTCAAAGGTGGCTGACTGCCAGTGAGGTTTACCCATCTCAGTGGTAGGTTGTTGGTTTGTAGGCATGTAAGCGATTAAAAGATTGAGTACCTGGAAGCTCAAAAAAAAAAAAAAAAAAAAATCTACCCCCTTTGATATTTTAGGAACTTAAATCACTCTTCACCAGGAGGAAGTAGAAACAAAGTACTTGCATTAGGCATATCCTACTGGCTCTTTTCCTTGTTTGGAATCTATTTTGTGCCTGCCATTAATCTGGTTGGGGCAGCCCTCATGTTCTGTTCCTTTAGGTCCAACTGTGGCATAGTTAGCCTGGGTTCCTAACCCTTCCAGCTTTTACCACCCTGTTCCCTGTGTAGTGACAGCTGTTTACGTAGGTAATTTTTTTTCCTTGTTACAGTTGCTTTTGCTCTTATGTGCTTTGATTTATCTAGAAGAGTTTTCCAGCTTCCAGAAACAATTAGTTATACCACACTGTGGTTTGTATCTATACTGACAATTCTTTGTTGTTATGGTACTATAGATTCTCCTGAATTAAAAATCTCAAATAATAAATGTAGTCTCTTTAGCAGTTTTTCTATGGAGTAATAATAGTATATCAGGAATATGTCCCTTCAGTGCTAAGGAGATTTAGGGGTAGAAACTTACTAATGATGTTTAATGATTTTCACAGTGCTTAACTGGTATCATCCAGTTGTCCCATGGTTGAGGAAAGTTGGGTCCCAGGTGATGGATGGAGTGCTAATTTGTTTGAAGTTTGGTTTATTTTTCATGGAAGGGGGAAGTGATAGGAAATGACCAGACAGTTGTTTTTGATATATGTCAAGTATTATGAAAGCATATGAGAAGCCTCAAGGGTTACACCATGAACAGCCTGACCTAGCAGTCAAGATCAGATCTGGGGATCTGTAACACAGTACATAATGGTTTGTGGTATGTGTCTCCTTTAAAGCCTGTTCAGAGGGGCGCTTGGGTGGCTCAGTCAGTTAAGTGTCTGCCTTTGGCTCAGGTCATGATCCCAGGGTCCTGGGATCGAGCCCCGCATTGGGCTTCCTGCTCAGCAGGGAGCCTGCTTCTTCCTCTCCCTCTGCCTGCTACTCCCCCTGCTTGTGCTCCCTATCTCTGTCAAATAAATAAATAAAATCTTAAAAAAAAAAAAGCCTGTTCAGTATATTTGGCCTGAGAAGCATTCATGCTGATAGCTCTCATAGAGCTCTTTTCTGCTCCTCAGATCAACATGTTTTGAAAATATGTCAGATGTGTGCATGGAGAGGAGATAGACACGTAGATACACTCCGAAACTAGAGAAATATTTTCCTTGCTACAGCATTTCTCTTTTCTTTTTTTTTTTTTTTTTAAGATTTTATTTATTTATTTGACAGACAGAGATCACAAGTAGGCAGAGAAGCAGGCAGAGAGAGAGGAGGAAACAGGCTCCCCGCCGAGCAGAGAGCCCGACGCGGGGCTCGATCCCAGGACCCTGGGATCACGACCTGAGCCGAAGGCAGAGGCCTTAACCCACTGAGCCACCCAGGCGCCCCAGCATTTCTCTTTTCTTCCAATTATGTTTATGAACGGTATTCATGGAATATTATTGCCGTGGTGCAAATAATGACTTCTGTGTATCTCTTACACCCTGTGGGGGTGTGAGCTTTCATTTTAGGTGTGGCTACGTCAGCAGGGTGATGTTGTATCACACTCAAATAATCTGTATTTAAAAGTATTCATGTCATTTATTATTTATATGTCATTCAACAGGCATAGATGTGCATCTCAATAATCAGTTGTATGGTGTAATTGTAAGTTAGAAATTTCGACAGCAAAAATACTTTAAACCAACTATTTTCAAAGGGAAAAGATAAATATATTGATACTTGTCAAGCATTGTTCATAAAAGTACTCATATTTATCCTTTTGGGAAACTACTAATGTTAGTCCCAAATTATTTAAGCTGTTTTGCTGAAACCAATCTCCGATCTGTGGTCAGAGCAGCATCTAGTGAGTCCCTCGTACCAGCGTTATAGCTCAGAAGATGATTCTGAACGAATGCTTTAGTGTGATGTCAAGAGAAAAAATGTGGCTCTGTTTCTGGATATGTTGAATAGCTTTCTTAGAACAAATTCCCTTTGATTAAAATGAAGAGTCCTGAATCTGTCCTGAATCTAAGTATCTAAAAGGAGTAAACAGCTCTGCTGCTTGTTCTGCTTAGTTTGGGGAAACAGTATCAACCATATAAAATGACTAATCTGTGGGACTAGAGTGAAGGTTTTATTCTACGTTAATTTTATTAATGCACATCGTGGACATGAAGATGTAGAGAGCATCTTCACACGGATAAGTTAATTTTACTGTATGATATGTTTTCTAAACCTTTAAATCTCTTTGCTTACCATGTTCACGTAGCCTGAGGAGAATTTTTTAAATAATAGGTCGATGACTAGGTAGACCCTAAAACTACGAGAGAAACATAGAATGTAGTTAGCCATCTGTGCTCCTGGTTTGTAAAAAAATCTGAGTTAACCTGATTGGTGCTGTACCACAGTCCAAAGAACATGCCCTTAAGTAGTCCTACCTTTTCAGAGCTTGACTTTTGCTTTTGTATATTAAATAAAAACCATTTCAAATGTTTCCTTGTGTAGTTTATGGTTAACGGCTGAGTCTCTGTTAATTCAGTTTCAGTAGCTAACTCTGGCTTGTGTGTAACCAGGACTCTAGGTTGTCTCTCTGCCTTCTCTCCCCCATTGTTTTGAGGGAGGTCTATCCCACAGGTTTGGTAGAGAAAATACTTTTCCAACAGTGTGAAATTACATTTTTTTTTTTTTGAATAGTGCCATTCCATGTTTCTCTGTTAATGAAATAATTGCTTTCCCTTGACGCTTAGTATTAAAGTTGTTAAGCATTTTAAACATGGAAGACTTAACTAGCATTTGCAGTAAAAACGAGAGAAGGATCCACTTTGAAAGTTCAGTTGATTATTAAAGGATTTGGTTAATCCATGCCAATAGCTTCCCTCTACTTTCTTAAGTGTTCATGAATAAGCTTTATATTCATATTAAGAGAAAGCAATGTAAGATTTGGTAATGTCAGTTTCAGTACTGTGACTTTTAAATTGTATTTGGTACTGAAACTGTGAGGGAGGTCTGTTATTGCAGGCTGTACTTATTTAAAAAATTTTTCTGGCTGTAACTTTTGGCATTTATTATCTTAGATAAGAAACCCCTAGTTTAAATATTCAGATACTGGTGGGCTATATGGTTCTCCCATCTTCCTTCGTATTCTTATAAAATCTCAAATTCCTGAAGTAATGTATATATGAAAGTATTAAAATACTGATTTTTATATTATGGAACATACTGGTTCTCTGGTCTGAAGATCCCAAACAGCACCAGTAATTGTTTTAAAGTTTTCCCCAGTGAAGTTAAAGTAGTTCATCAGCAGCAAGAAGAGTGTGAGACAAAAGAGAACTTTTGGCATTTACATAGTTAATCAAAAACAAAGTTTTGATGTGGTGACACTTACTTTATCTTGTGTGGAAGTGCCTGTGACCCTTGGTTCCCCTTTGTGATCGCCAGCAGCCAAGGGACTGCTGTGTGTGGCACTGGAGCCACCGATGCCGGCTGAAACATGTTGTCTACAGTACCGACTGCTCAACGTTACAGTTGAAGACAAAAAGACATATTCCGTAGCCTGGGGTGAGGGGAAGGAGCAAGAGAACTGGAGACTGTTAATCTGTGGATAAGTGCTTTCTTACATAAATGTGAAAGAGGGATTAAATTCGTTGCATGTAGTTCCTAGGGTTGAAAAAAAAAAAAAAAGAATGCTA